TTCATTTTCCCAATTAATCAACCCACCCATATACAACTAAACAGCACATGGCCACCTACCACAGGGAAAGCACTTAATAATCGCTATCAAATTAGTAAGGTAGAATAATTAGAACCTCATAGGAAAGTCTGTTGAATTAATCTTGTTGGTCATTTGTTGCCTTCAATATCCTTGTTTCATCGTCTTCTTTGACCTTGTTGTGACGTCGTCAGCAAAGGCGGTGGAGTTGAAACGTTGACGTGCAACATTGCTCTCATCGACGATTATAGACAAGTTGATGAATTATTGAGAGGGCACTTCATCAGTCGCCTGACTTAAAATGGCCTGGTATTAAACAGCGGACTCGCAGACTTCAACAGAGGAGTACCCGTTTGGACGGCACCATCAGTCTTCGAGTTATGGGTAAGATGCTCTCCATCCTCTTACTCTCCCTCATCCTGTTCTGTGTACTGTCAACTTGTTCTATATCAGTTTTAACGGTTCCGTTTCCTTCAAATCCCTTTATTATTTTTTTAATTTGCTGGTTAGGCCTAAAATATATTTTCAGTTTTCGCTCTTGTATTTGCGAAATGACAAAATTATTAATGGGACCATAAGCTGTGTAATGCTACTTTGTATCATGTAGTTTGGACGGCACCATCAGTCTTCGAGTTTTGGATAAGATTCTTTCCGTCCTCCAGCTCTCATTCAGCCTGGTCTGTGTACTTTCAACTTGTTCTTTTTCGGATTGACGTGTTATTTCTTTCAAATCCCTTTTTTTTTGTAATTGGGCCTAAAACATTTTTTCCTTGTACCCTCTTGGCACGAGCATTGATGGAACCAGAAGTTCTTTATTGCCACTTTGTAACAAGTAGTTTGCTATTTGACAAAGAATTGCACAGTTATATACTAGTTCAAAAAGTTACTTTAAACATTTTGATATGAACAAACGTTTATGCTCTAGCTTGATCATTTACTGTGATATTAACTTTCAATCCCCATGTGATATGTCCACTGTAAAAGCACTTCTACGAATTCGTTAATCACATCTTCAAATTCACCCAGTTACAGAGATGTGTTTTGTACATAATTCAAATGCGGAACTCATAGAAGGACGCGTAGCTGGAACTGTTTTAAAGTTTGTTTAAAATTGCTTTGAAATGAATTCCTAAATCCAATTTGAAAAAATTCATATCCAAGTTTGAAAAATATTGAATTGGATATAAGATATATATATATATATATATAAAGCATATTCATTAACTGAACGATTGGTCGCGTAATGGTATTTTATATAGTTATGTGTTCAAACTAGATTATCTTAAGCAATGACATTAAAGGTTTGAAAAAGGTCAAAGATATACTTTTATTGAAATTATTCGATTTGTATAAACATTAAACGTCCCTAAGAATACCCAGCTGTAGAAACAGATTGCGTGTAATATACTTCCCATCAAAAGTTTAGACTCACTGAAAACATTCAAAATATATTATGTATATATATATGGTTACATCGAAGATTGATTTCTCCACTAACTTCGGGGAACCAACTGCAAACCTTACGCAGATGAATTGCACGAGGATCATGCATCAAATGACCGCGTCCGTGGTGTAGTGGTTAGAGCGTCCGCCCGGAGAGCGGAAGGTCGCGGGTTCGATCCCCGGCCTCGTTATACCAAAAGACGTTAAAATATGGTACTTGTTGGTCCCTGTCTTGCGTTCGGCATTAATGGGTACAACAAGGACTGGTCGGCTCGGAGTCAGTATAATGTGTCTGAGTGGAGTATTCATGCTTCACTGCAGCATGGTATCTCAGTGGGCTAGCACTATAAAACCAGCTTGAGTCTGGGCTAGTACAAGCAGCCGCACATACACATACACACGCATGCACGTCATCATATGAGCGAAATATTCTCAAGCACGACGTTAAACCCAATTTCACTTCACTTCATGCATCAAATTGCTGAAAAGCGTGTGCAAATATCATGCATGTGAACAGCTGCGTTTTGGTGTAAAGTTTTGTTAAGAATTCGCCAATTTTAACTGAGGTTCATTTATTGACAATAATCTTTTCAACGTTACGAATTTGTTTTCCGATACATCAGTTCATGTGAAAACAGTACCCTTAAACAGTATGGAATATTTTGCAAAATTTAGTTTAGAACAGTTGCCTGAAGTAAGTGGCTATATTTACACTAGTGAGTCTAAACTTTTGATGGAAAGTATATAAAGAGCTAAATAGCAGTGAAGATATTCCTTATTTGAAACTTATACAGCGTCACATCAATACTTGTAGATTTTATGTTGTTTAGGTAATTTCTTGTACATGCACACACAATGTGCCCGTGATAGAATATCTGAACCTAATTTCCGTCTTGTTACGAAAGCATCATGCTTTATAAGTTTAAAATCACTTTATCAAAAACAGGTTTGATTGCTTTCCCATGGAAACTTCAAGGAAATTGCAACAGCGAAAGAATGGCTTTCAAAGAATCGTAATTCTTCCGTTCCAAACAAGGTTATAAGGAATTTAGTTCTAGAACACTCTGTTCAGGTCATGGCAACAGATTGGATCATTTCTGTAAATGCTGAAAACCCTAAATTTCATACAATTATGTTATTTTGTTTAAATCGATTTCGGAAACTGTCAGTGTTAAACATGTTCCGTACAATCTTATTTCTCGACCTTTTCCCTTTAAATTATAATGATTTTTAAGTTCATGCAGCGCGTGTGAATACTGATTTCGTGCATTTATGTTGATTTTCTTTCGTAATATTATTATATTTTAAATGTCGGCAATGTTTAAATGAAAAAAGTAGAACCATCAACCGACGTGATTTCCATAAACATAATCAGAATCAGCAGGGCTATGTGAAAAGTATATCTCTCCTGTGTCTCTCCTCTATCAAGTTCGGCCTGGATTACAAGCTTTTCCAAGAGTCAAATTGAAAATACGAATCAAATCAAATATGAGAATTAAAGATTATGTTAACTCGGAAAGCTGTTTTCAGCAAATAATTGAAAATTGCGTTAAAAGAGAAGCCAATCCTGTCTTGCGTTTATTGAGATCTTTTTAGCTTAAAAAGTTAAAAATAAACTCATTACTATATCGAGTGACTTTGAATATTCCTTATACTGAAATAAGTTAAAAGATTGGACGAAGGCGAAACATGGATGCTTATCAAAAGTACGCCATAAGAAAATAAAATAGAGTAAAAAATTGTTACTGCGTAAGATCACGGTAGCCAAAGGAAAACCAAAAATACACATACAAAAACACATCACTCTTTTTATCCTAAGTTTCTCATTGTGAGTGAAACGAGTGAGTGAGTTATGTTTTACGCCGATTTTAGCAATATTCCAGCAATATCACGGTGGGGGACACCAGAAATGGGCTTAACACATTGTGCCCATGTGGGGATTCGAACCCGGGTCTTCGGCGTGACGAGCGAACGCTTTAACCACAAGGCACATCTCATATGATGTCGGGTGCTACCAGTCGGGCAGGACTGTTTTCCCTTTTCGCGGACACCTTGTGTGATCAATCTGTTGGATAATCTAGATAACGGAGATCTTTCATATGTATATCTGTCATGTTTAAGGACGTTAAGATAGTACTCAGAGATAGTATTTCAGCATCTGAAGACATGGATGGCTCAGCCAGTAGAAACACTCTCACTGCAAAGGGTTAGCTTTTTTCATAAAGGGTTTTCATGTCTACATTATCTTTACATTGTATGTGGCATACGGTTTAACAAAGCGGTATGTCAATTTCACTCACCCCGTGAGGCGTCTAGCAACATCAGTGACAACGGGTCTTCATTCTATGTGTAATTAATGTGGTCAGATGACGGTAGATAGATGCTCGTGATGTCAATCACTGCATTGGTCTAGAGTGAGTGAGTGAGTATGGTTTTACGCCGATTTTAGCAATATTCCAGCAATATCACGGCGGGGGACACCAGAAAATGGGTTTCACACATTGTACCCATGTGGGGAATCGAACCCAAGTGTTCGGCGTGACGAGCGAACGCTTTAACCACTAGGCTGCCCCACCGCCCCGCATTGGTCTAGATTCGACGACCACCGTCATAGAGATGGGGTGTTGCTCAGTGCTGCGTAACATATGTTATATTTGGGATTACCCTTTCTTAGTAAAGTACAGATTCTAGTACTTTTGTTGGATTGAGTCCTATCCGGGATTCGAACCCACACCCTCAGAGTCAGGCGCCAGCACACAGTTGTTTGTTTGCCTGTCTTTTGTTGATGAACGCCGCACTCAGCAATATTCAAGCTACATGACGGTTGTCTATAAATGGTGAAGTCTGGACCAGACAACCCTGTGATCAACAGTATGAGCATCGATCTGCGGAATTGGGATACGATAACATTTGTCAATCAAGTCAGCGAGCCTGACCACCCGATCCCGTTAGTCGCCACATGTACATGATATTGGTTGCTGAAGATCCGGATCTTCGCGGGTCCAAACAACGAAGAAACAGTTAGTCTAGACGCATCTCAAAAACAGAATCTTCTGTTAAGTTTTCTTGAAAAATGAGACAGGTTTTTTTTCAAGAAAACATATATACGCAAGCAAGGTCTTTTAAACTCCATTACGACGTGAATGACGTTAAAATACCTTCGTCTCTACATGGAGGTGAATCTAGCATACACTCCAAGGACAATCTAATCACATTATCTGAAAGTATTATTAAGAAGATGTGCAAAAATGATGTAGAATAATATTTACATAATAATATGCCTGACGATCAGAAGTCTGTCTGGAGCAATCGTTTTTATGCTTATAAAATAAAGCTTATCTTATATTCTTGCCATTACTTACTCGAAAAGAAAATAATAATTTAAAATCAAAATGTTCTTATTACCAAAATGCAACAAAAACTGCTCAAGCGCCAGCGCCAACATTAAAGATATTTACACTTCAAATGTTTTTTAGCACGTTAAAAAAACAATCAATACAGTGAATGCGTTGTGCAATAAGTCAACGTTGTTGTTTCAGCTAACTTCGGCGTCGTCTACAAAGTTGCCGTGCTGTTACTGGCCTCCCTGCTGGTAGTGCAAGACTTCAGGCAGTCCAAGGCTCAGTGGGCACAGACAAACGGCTGGGGAGGGGCGGGGGTTGGCAAGCGTATGTTCACCCCACCCGATCTCTCTGGACCCTGCAGAGTGGATCCGTATGTGGCTCTCCTCATCTCAAGACTTGCAAAGGTAGTAATGAAAAAGAATTGAACTTTTCATAATATCTGATTTTGTTTTCAATTGTTTGAAATAGACAAAAGACTCGAATGGTTCACACACACGGTTTTCACTTTTGTGGTTTCGTAAACAGCTTGTTTACTGTGGTAAAATGACTGGTTCAATATCTGCCCGCTTCCTACCAGTTGACGTTGAAAGGTATTGGTGATATGTGACAGGTGCCTGCCCCGCGGACTCTTATTCCAGCTATATGGCGACGGTCTGTAAATAATCGAGTCTGGACCAGACAATCCAGTGATCAAAACAGCATGAGACGATGACCTGTGTCAACCAAGTCAGCGAGCCTGACGACCCGAACCCGTTAGTCGCCTTTTACGACAAGCATTGGTTGCTGAGGACCAATTCGAACTCCAATATGACGATAAAAGCGCTTCACACATATTAACAGTCGAACCGGGTGTTCTACAAACTGTAATGTCTACAAACTGTAATGTTTACTTACAGTGAAGGATGTTTATGAAAGAATATTTAACTATCCTTAAACTCTCCTGGAAAAAGTGTAACGTCTTTGCGAGTAGGATATATTGAATTTCTGACAATCAGCTACTCGTCAGGCCTCCTGCTGCCTGTTCTCTGAACATTTACGAATTAAGTGTCGCGACTTCTCTATCTCGCAAGCACTTCACATCACTCCACGTCACATCTTTACAGATAATCATTTCCCTGTTTCGCTGATCGGATATTGCGTATCGATTATCTACATCATCAATATGTTTTCTCGATGATAGAGTATTGTATTAACGGTCCTGCTCGGTAATATTATCAAATATTTACAGAGTCTTGTCGAATCATCAAGGACATCCACCAGACACTACCACATTAACCTTGATTGTTCTCAATATCCAATCAATTGTGTATATGTATGCAAATGTAATGAACACAGTTCGTGCTTAACCAGGATATGAAGTCTCCGAACGCACCTGCACATTTCAGTGATGAGTGACATGTTATAATGAAATTGACAAGGCGGTAGCGTGGACCTTGTACGGCTGACGCAATAAGCATTGTGACGTCACAGTTCATAGACATTATGACGCTTCTTCTATTGCCAGTGATCTTTGGAAGTGTTCTTTTTTCTTCACAATTAGCAGTTACATAAACACTTCAGTATAATTTGTCTTACTTATACAAGTATCGAAATTGACATTTTACGTAAAAAAATATAATTGCCATAAAATATACTTTATTATGGTAATATACTTATCTTTCTTTGCATTGACATGTAAGCTGAAATTAAATCATTATTTCACCATCGTTTTTTTTGCTTTTGATATATTAACGTGTTTGCTGAAGAAGTTCAGTTAGTAAAGTACATGTACACGTTTTATATATCATGTGAATATGACGCCGGTACGACGCACGAATGGGCTTCACAACAGCTGGGTAACCTTGACACTGTGTTGGAACAACAACAGTGTCAAGGGTATCAGAGTTTGGGGAAATAACAGTGTCAAGGTTATCATAGTTTCAGGAAACAATAGTGTCAAATTAAGGGGAAACTTTGGGGAAACAACAGTGTCAAGGGTATCAGAGTTTGGGGAAACAACTGTCAAGGGTATCAGAGTTTGAGGAAACAACTGTCAAGGCTATCAAAGTTTGGGGAAACAACAATGTCAAGGGTATCAGAGTTTGGGGAAACAACAATGTCAAGGCTATCAGAGTTTGAGGAAACAACAATGTCAAGGGTATCAGAGTTTGGGGAAACAACAATGTCAAGGGTATCAGAGTTTGGGGAAACAACAATGTCAAGGGTATCAGAGTTTGGGGAAACAATTCAGTCAAATTCAGGGGAAACAACTGTCAAGGTTATCGGGGTTTTGGTAAACAACAATGTCAAGGTTATCGGGGTTTTGGTAAACAACAGTGAATAGATGCTTGATTGGCATTTTAGAAGATGTTATTTGATAAACATAACAAATTTTCTGGATTTCTTTTTATTCTTTGATACGTTGTTTTGGAGCCTGTCCCAGTCCCTGAACAGTTACTGAAGCGTTGTATCAAAGAATAAAAAAGATGATGAAATCCAGAAAATTCTTTATGTTCAACAGTGAGTAAGTTAATGTTTTGGGAAATAACAGTGTTAAGGTGATTAGATTTTGGGGAAACATTAATGTCAAGGTTATTAGTGTTCCATGGTTATGGCACTTTAAAACAAATGTTTTGATTATCAGATTTTCAGTGTCATCATAGTGGCAATGTTATCATCAGAGATACCAAGGAAGGAGATTGCCACTGCACCTATCTATCTGCGTTTGTGATGATGATTTGTCATACTTTCCTTGTCTTCGACAGATAGAAGCAGAGCGACTGCGGAACTGTGACCTATCGTCTACCTATCAAGCAGATGGTTCCAAATGAGGTACGTCCTTTCCCAATCAGCAGCAACAGCCATCTTAATTCTTCCCATCTTTCCTTTAAGACAGACTGACTGATTTTAGTTTTACGCCGCTTTTAGCAATATTCCAGCAATATCACGGCGGGGGACACCAGAAATGGGCTTCACACATTGTGCCCATGTGGGGAATCGAACCCGGGTCTTCGGCGTGACGAGCCAACGCTTTAACCACTAGGCTACCCCACCGCCCCTCCTTTAAGATATATTATTATTAAGTATGTCTGATTCTCGTCATTGCAAAAGAATTATCACCTGATGTTAATGGCTTTAGATCATATTAAAGTTAATTGGGCTTCGAAGTGTCGAGATCTGTTGTACAGTTTGGATTTTGGTTTTGTTTGGGAACAGCAATCTGTTATTTCTCCTACCTCGATTTTATCTGAATGTCTGTATTCATGAACAGACTTGGTATAGTTCACTACAAAATGGCAGCAAATGTCGTATTCTTACTTCAAAATATCATTGTCCAGGGAATTGTATCTAAATGTAATTAACATTAAAAAGTTTAGAGTAGAACTCGTTCAGTTTAGATGTTTTTCGGATCAGTTACGTATTGAACCTGGGCGGTATTATAATATAGATAGAAATGATAGATTATGTTTACAGTGCTGTGAAGGTTATATTGAGGATGAATACCATTTTCTCCTCGAGTGTTCCAAATTCAAACAGCTCCGCTTGAAACATTTACCTAAACGTAGTGTATCAATCCAATTCAAACTGCTCGTGTCAACATCAGATTGTAAACTTATCAATAGTTTAGCTAGCGTTATGTATCATGCTATGTATCTGAGATGTTAGAATTATTAAGTTATACTGTACACACCATGTTTTGCCACAATGCAACCTATGTAGTTATGGGCCGATTCCCTACACTTCTGTAATAAAAGAATTGAATCTTTCCTTTAATAAAATCTCATTAAGCGATTAACATATACAAAATGTACATGTTTACTAATCACTATCACGGCGTAAAACTAAACTCACTCGCTCATCAGTCTTCTAAATAAATTCATTCACCGAGTCATGAATATGATAGGACACCGTGAGTTGACCGTTTCAGACAAAATCTCACCTGAATGCTTTCAAGGTGAAACAGACATCCTCTCATCGCTGACCTAGAATAAACCCCTTGTTCATGATTACCTATTTAAAAGTATGTATGAGCTATTTTACTAAATAGGCTCCTTATCAAACGGTAATACACTTTGTTCACTCACATTCCGTTTGACCTGACTATTTCTTCACATTGCAGACAAACATGGCGGTTAACATGACAACTTCCGGTGCCTTCCAAGTCGCTCAAATGTGACTTCCGTCCAAAAACAGGAACTGGCGACGTCTGCTGATGGACGGATTAACCTCTTTTTCCAGACATCAACCATGCCATTTCAAAACCTGGCCTTTACTTTGAACGTTGATTCGTGCAAATCTTAAACTCATGTGACGCAAAATGATGTTTTATGACGGTTGAATTTATTTCGTTGTTGAATCTACCGTTCCCGTATCTGTTCCGTTTTCTCAAACATAATGCTTCGTTACATGAATGTATATTCTGTAACACTGATGTAAACGTTTCATGTCGTTGTTGATGTCTTCACGAACGGCAGAAGAGATCAACTGAAATCCTTCTGTTGTGTCCGTAATCTTCTGGGACAAGTGGCATGTAGAGTTAGACCCAAGAAAATCTAAACTATAAGCTTGTTGTGTTGTCATTGCCTACTCGTAGGCGGGCCGCTGCCGTGGAAAAGTGGATAGAGCGTTTGGCAGGAGAGCTGAAGGTCGGTGGGTCGATGCCAGGCAACGTCATGCCAAAAGATGTTAAAATATGGAACTTGTTCATGCCGTGCCTGATGCTCGACATTGTGAGTCAGTATAGAGTGTCCGAGTAGGGTAGCCATGTTTAACTGCCGGTTGGTATCTTCATGTTCAAGCCCTCTGAAACCCGCAAAAGTCAAGAATTGTAAAAGAAGACAAGCACATACACGCGCACACGCACGCACGCACACACACACGCACTCTCACACACGACGTAAGCCACGTTTTAATCACACTAGTCACATACGTGTGGTGGTTGGTGAGCTGCATCTGAAAGTGATGGTTGTCATTGGTTCATCTGAACAGTCATTGTCGAACAGAACATGAATCTGCTGTGGATCAGCAATCTGGACAGAGATCGGCCAAGGCGTGGATCTTTTGCTGTCTTGTTAATAATGAATAGCATAATATGTGATTGCAATTTGTAGTAAAGTTCTCAAACCTGTGATCGATACTGATCTCATCGACCACCACCTAAAATAAAAGAGACACCAGAAATTGGCTTCACACATTGTACCCATGTGGGGAATCGAACCCGGGCCTTCGGACGAGCGAACGCTTTAACTAGTAGTGTACCCCACCGCCCATATAGAGAGATTTAATATCCCCACCAACGTACATGGCCTCTGGGTTCCTTCTGGTTGGGACTCCATTATTTACAGACTGATGTGATGTGACTGGACATAACAGTGCTGACTGCGGCGGAAAACAACATGCATGGTCCTTTAATTCCTTGTGGTCGGGATGCCACGATTTACAGACTGACTGACTGACACAATATGGTTTTACGCCGCTTTTAGCAATATTCCAGCAATATCACGGTGGGGGAATACCAGAAATGGGCTTCACACATTGTACCCATGTGGGGAATCGAACCCGGGCCTTCGGCGTGACGAGCGAACGCTTTAACCACAAGGCTACCCCACCGCCCCACTATTTACAGACCTGCTGTGACATAACAGTACTGACTGCGGCGGAAAATAACATTTAACTCACTGTGACTTGTGCTCAGGTACATACGGACTCTTGTGATAACATCGTAAAACGGCCACCTTGGCTGTTATTGAATACAGTGCTGCATCGCCGTAACCGGGAAGAAAAACATTCAGCAGTTTGTCACCATCGCCTCTCTGCTTCATCATATATTTATCCCTCTGTGGGCGGAGGCGTCATAGCGACTAGGGGACCCGCAGATATACCTGTACTTTCTCATGACCTTCGCTAACGCAACGCGCCATTGATTGGTGTACTCTTTTGGTGTGTTTAGTTAGCGTTCATGGGCTTTTTACGTCGTGTTTATCTTGTGATCAGGTTGTGGTCTTAGGTTGTATGAGACAGCATGTGTATAGATATATCCCCCCCCCCCCCCAAAAAAAAAAAAAATAAAATAAAAATAAAAATAAATAAATAAAATGTTTCCACTTTTAATAATTATAATATTTTTCTGAAAGTTGATGGTCACAATAATCTACACGGAAGCATCAGCACTTGCACATCAGTCTTGCTTGTCGTAAGACGGGACTTGGTTGACACATGTCGTCGTGTATATCGGTATATCATGCAGTTGATCACTGGATTGTCTGGTCCAGACCACAGCCGTATTGCTGGAATAGAGCTGAGTGCGGTGTTAAACAACAACAAACAGCGCTGAGTATTGCTGATGATGTCAATCACAGGATTGTCTGGTCCTTATGTGCAGCTCGCCGCCATTTGGCTTGTATACTGCTGAGAGGGGCGTTAAGCAAGCAAGCGAACAAAGAAACAGTTCATATATGATGGGAAGGAGAACTGGTCCTTGTGATCCCGAGTAAGTGTATCAAGAGGGGTTTGGCGCTATCATATACTGAAATGCAAAAGAAACGTGGTAATATTGGAAATGACATTTAAGTATCAATGGGGTATTTGAACCTATTTTTGTTTAATATACTTCGGAAGTCAAGTTTGAGGAAAACATGAATCGTGTTTTGCCCAATAAGGTATTGTTTGAGATTGAGGTTAGAAATGTTTTTGTTTGTGGAAAGGGAAGAGGGAACACAACATGGAAATCGAGATGTACGTGCATCATGCATGCATACAGGCATAAATTGCCGCCTTGATTGGCAATCGTTCACCTGTTTTCTGAAAGCAGCAGCTTCTGGTGTATATGTTAACAAAACTAAGTTCAAATACTCCATTGATACTTAAATGTCCTTTCCAATATTACCACGTTTCTTTTGCCTTTCAGTATAGTAACTTATGTATATAGCGTTTCAAATTAGGGAAAATATGGCATACATGTTTATACCAGTCCACGATAGAGACACTACTACAGCGTCAATTGTCAGGAGACTCTGATCAGTATCGCCAGTGCATGATCAAACAAAACTCATGATGTAACTCAACTCACCCACTCACTCGAGGGTTTTAACTACTAGGTTCTCCCACCGTGTGGGGTCGCCCCGAGATGACCTTCAACCTGCTCTGTTATAGACTCCATGTATTATTTAGATGCACTGTTTTTATTGTCAAGTCGGGATTTCCCTTATCAGTACATCTAACAGCCAGCGTAGTGGTCGACATGTATGTTCTCATCCCATTTCCTTTGTCGAACACAAGGATTGGCTCGCTGAGTGATGATATTGGAGTCGTAAAGCGGAGATTGCGGGACAGAAGAGACCTCTTTAGTTCATGCTAGTACTTGAAATAACAATCTCATCAAAATGAGATAACGTACTCCGATACGATGCATCTACGACACATCCATAAAGGGCCATGTGAAAACGATCAGCGACCGCCCAGTGTAAATGAACGACTCATAGGTTCTCTAGACAATCAGCTGTCAGCTTTCTGTAACATTTCTGTTACATTTGTACCACCTCGTACCAGACTTCAAATGCAAACCCCAAGAGAACACTATATTCTGTCGATGGTAATCTCTTCTGACTGCATATGCCACAGAGCCAGGAAAGGAGTGAGCGAGTGAGTTTAGTTTTACGCCACCGTTAGCATATTTCAGTAATATCATGGCGGGGGACACCAGATATGGGCTTTACACACAATGTACATGTAGTTAATGAACCCGGGTCGTCGGCGTGACGGTCGAACGCTTCAACCACTAGGCTACCCTACCGCCCCTCAGAAAGGAGAGGCATGAACCATATACAGTGTCCTTTTAGATCGAGAAACAGATATCAGATTTAATGACATGTCCACTCGTACCGTTTGTTGTACAATGTGTGAAGCCAATTTCTGGTGTCTCCCGCCGTGATATTGCTGGAATATTGCTAAAGGCGGCGTAAAACCATACTCACTCACTCACTCTTATACATATATTTGAATGAGCAGTGGTCTAATTCATTAGAGGACGATACCCCTCAAGTCACAGACCCTGAGCATTTGATCACCATTTTAACGAGACACGGACCTCCGGTAACACATGTCACAAACACATTTAAAGGCAGGTAAACTGTTCCACTAAAAAGTACCGCATCAAACATTATTCCAGCAACATCTATGGTAGTGTCTCGACTATACAATCCAGTGATTGATAATGTGAGCGTCAATCCGCGCTTTGTTGACTCTTGTCAACCCCATCTATCAGAAGTGTGATAAGCCTGGTTGGTTTATGAAACATCTTCTGGCGAAAGCCTGCGTCGAGCACTGTGCGCTCTTGCATGTGTATATCATGGCTTGGATGAATGTATGTACAAAACAACTACAAACCAAAACGAATGTTAACGAAACACAAACATTGACTCACAAACGAGTAGCTATTCTGAAGTACTGTAAAATATATTGTATATAAATAACTATTAGACTCCAGATAAATGCTTTCGTAAAATTTCATAAACGTAATACTGTTTTGAATAAATGTATATCAGAGATTAAGTGACTGACTGAGTTTGGTTTTACGCCGCTTTTAGCAATATTCCAGCAATATCACGGCGGGGGACACCAGAAATAGGCTTCACTCATTGCACCCATGTGGGGATTCGAACCCGGGTCTTCGGCGTGACGAGCCAATGCTTTAACCACTAGGCTACCCCACCGCCCCATATCAGAGATTAAAGGTAGATGGTTGTCCATATAGGATATTCTGGTCTTGTAGCTCATAAATGTCATAAAATACACACAGATTGATTGATTGACCGATTAACGGTAGTCTACTCAGGACACCTGTTCAAATTCCCAACTGGACAAATATCCCTATTGTCCTCCGTGTTCTTCGGCCTTACAAAGGTTATGGATTACGTTCAAATATAAAATGCTTTTAATGTCATCAGATGAAGCAATAGAAAGCCCGCAGATAGCCGATGTCTTCAAATTACTTTTTTCAATACTGTGCAACTGTCTTAAGGCGTCCATTTTTAAGTATTTGATTTACGTCAGCGTACGTGCGAGCGTGCTCGTGTTTAGTTTGACGCCGCTTTTAGCAATATTCCAGCAATATCACGCGGGGGACACCATAAATGGCTTCACACATTGTACCCATGTGGGGAATCGAACTCGGGTCTTTGGTGTGACGAGCGAATGCTTTACCCACTAGGCTACTCCACTGCCCCTAATTGATTTACGGCTTGGCAAACCACAAATTCACAAATGTTGAATAGAGTTACTATAAATTTTGTGAGCAATTTTCTGGGAAAATTTGATTAACAAAATCAACTGACCACTAAATCTTCAAAGTCACCACATTCAGCCACCATTCCTCCCTGGGATTCTAAACAGAAAGACAAAAGTCAGAATCTCTTAAAAATTGAATTTGACAAATCTGTAAATTCAGTAGTTGAAACACTGGAAACATAAGATACCTAACTCAATAATGACACCCGCATAAGATACATCACCACCAACCATTTCTTGTTTTCTCAAATCTAGTTGCGGTGGGGTAGCCTAGTGGTG